TGGCCTCATTATTTTTAGATTCTACGGGTTTGAACACTTAGCTCAACTCTCGTCTGCTTCTCTTTTTTTTTTTTCTTTTCTTTATGACATTCCGGTAAATGAGGGCTTTTATTGGTTACTTGACATCACGTGGGTCAGATTTAAAATATCTTTTGGAAACTTTTTGTTTTATTTTTCAGGATGAAAATTTATCGATTTTTCTACCTATGTGTGAATATATTTGAGCTATACTTTAAATCATATTCTTGTTAATTGAGTTCTCTGTTTGTTGCTTGATATCACGTGACTTGAATTTAAAATGTCTTTTGGAAACCCTTTTTTTTATTTTCAGGATGAAAATTATCGCTTTTTCTACCTATGTGTTAATATATTTGAGCTACTTTAAATCATATTCTTGTTAATTGAGTTCTCTATTTGTTGCTTGATATCACGTGAATTAAAATGTCTTTTGGAAACTATTTATTTCATTTTGGAGGACCAAATTTAATCGATAACACGTTTGTATTTAAATTTGAGGAACTGTAAATATCTTTTGATTTTGTCAATTGTATTTTATTTGTTGATTTCTTTCATGTTTTATCGATATTGAAGAGGTTATGAAAGCCATTTTAAACATTAATGTTAAAGAATATCATTAACATGTTTGTATCATGAAGTTTTTTTTTTTTGAAACTATGTTATTTCTAATTTGGGGATGTTTTACTTTGTAATTTAATATCCCGCGTTTTGATTTTTAAAAGCATTCCTGTTTAAAAATCAATACGAATTTAAATCCGTTGTAATTTAAATATACTGTAGCTTATATTAAGGATGAAAAAAAACATATATTGGGTCATTTATTCTTCATAGGTATCCTGTAATATTTCGGTCAGGCCAACCGCCTTCTTCTTCATGGAGAATATGCATATAGGATCCTTCTTTCCATTGGGTAAGAATGAAGACTGTACCTTTTAATCAAGAAAGTGACAGGAATATATATCACTCTTTTAAAAAACAATTTATTTTTAATGTTCATACACATAGGTTGGTGTGTATTTTGCAAACTGCATTTTCCCTCCTTCCAAAAAATATAAAAGTTTTCTTCTTCTTCTTTCTTATCTCCACACACACAGAGAGAGAGATTTGACAACCATCATGATTGGGTGAAGTAAAATGCGTCTGCCTTTGTCATTAAGACTGGGAGCACTACTCAGTGGCAGGCCGACTTAGCTCCAAAAGAAATGGCCGCCTCTGACATGAGGAACAGACGCCATGTGCAGCCTCTCCTAACATGGAGTACAAACGCTGCTCATCCTGTATCCCTGGATTAGGAGCCCTTACAGGGTACTATCAGCCAGGCCAGCTGAACCCAGGTTTTTTAGTGAGCTTGTTACTGCTCCCCCTCCTCCAGGCGGAGTTATATAAAGTTTTAAATTATTTATTTAAACATGTGTGTGCATTGCAAACTTTTGGAAGAAGTTTTTTTAAAAAGACGAACGTTCTGATCGTCGAAAATATCTAAAGATTTCATTTTATTCTTTGTGGATCTCATGGAATCAAAGTCCGCCCTGGACTGATGAGGGCCCTGAAACCATGGTCTCCAGGTGGACGCTTCTCAATTAGCCAAAGTTGGTGTTATGGCTTTGTCACCGAGTCAATTTGCGGAGACGGTCAAATGATGACACTTAGTTTTAGTGTCTATTTTGAAAGGAGAGATGGCCTTCATTTCAAATAAGGCATTATAATCTTTAAAACAGTGCCTTATATAGGACTAATGTAAGTGTTCTTTGTTCACGATTACAGGGGAAAAAGACAAAATTTGCAGTTTCAAACGCCTATCAACCTAACAAGTCAAAGAGATCTACAAGATTTTCTTTGATTCATTTGCCGATATTTGTCTACTTGTACAGTTGTTCTACAGTTCTGCTGAAAAGTTGAGGATATCGTTAAAAATGGAAAAGAAGATGATTAGAAGACCCTCAATGGTTGGTACGTCATACCAACAAGACTATATATAGCTAATTATCTATTTATTGATACTTTTTATCATTGTTTGCTTCTTTTTACTTTCAGGACAGGTCTATATAAGAGGAAAGCAGAAAAGTTGAGGATATCGTTAAAATGGAAAAGAAGATGATAAGAAGACACCCATTAGTATGTACGCCATACCAACAAGACTATATATAGCTAATTATCTATTTATTGATACTTTTTTTTAGCATTGTTTGCTTCTTTTTACTTTAGGAACAGGTCTATATAAGAGGAAATGTCTTGATAAAAGATCTTTATCATTATCACAGGTTTGTGGATTTCGAAAAATTACAAAAAGGTATAAGACGTCGCAAATCTTTTTTTAAATTAATTGTATAAAGTAGCTTTCCGTCAAGGCCTTCCTTGGCAAACTAAACAGCAAGGGCCTGCCCGAAATCTACATTGATAAAAGAAGTTTGCAGCGTCTTATGCCTTTTATTGTAGTTGTCCTCAGGCTATTGTAGCTGTTGTTGTAAAGATATAGGGTGTTGATGATATTATCATCTCCCTGAATCTCTGTGGTAATCTCACCATGGTGTAAGAACGATGATGAAGCAGTCTATGGCGTGTAGGCCGTCCAACCGGACTGTCACGATGTCCTAGTCACTAGTCGTTCATCATCATTCACTTTTTATATCATCATCATCATTCAATTAGACACCGAAAGAGAATTTCGGGACAAAACTCTCCAAGATAGATATCTTAAAAGCATCATCTATCTTGAAAATCGTCGTTTTTTTTGTGTAAACCAGTTGAAATTCCATTTCATTAGAATTTCACTTTGAAATTTGATGTTTCTGTTTTATGTGAAGGAAGGGTTTTAAAGCAGTCAATTTTTGACAGCCATGACTTTGGATCGAATCCTAATTGGGGCACTTTTATTTAATCAAAGCAAACTGCCTTATTGGTTTCCGATTCTTGCAAAAGTCCAACCCTATTAGTGAGAGCAAGTAACCAAACAGGGCTGCACTTGCAAGTCTTCTTCTTTCTTATCTCCACTCAATCATATTAAGGTAACAAGCTTGTAAATCTTGAGACTTTTGATGGTGTCTGCCGGGGAAGAGTAGAGCTCATCAATGGATGAGTCAATACAGTCAATAATGTGTTTTGGGGTTGCAGGTTGAGAATTGCACTTAGTACAAAGTGAAAAAGTTGAGCTGTTTTTTACATGTGTAAACATATTGTGCACTTAAAGAGTACTTTGTATTTTATTTCGGGATAAGTATATAAAGATAGAGTACTGGAAATAAATGTGGAAGCGAGAGTGAAATCTTGCTCACCATCGATGACAATGCATTCGCATGAAACGTGATGCCAGTCACGAAAGTTTTTTTTTATAAAGTTGTGGAACCCACGTTCTCGTGATGGGAGAGTTTGCCTTTAAAAATATGTGCTGCAATAAATTTGCTCCGACTTGCACTGATCTCTATCTCTCTGGGTGAAAAATGGAAACCTGTACATGAACCGTCTTTCGTTCCAGCACCTCACATCGGTGGAAGGATGGTCTAAACCGATGGTTTTCGCTCGCTTCGACCCGGATTCGATTCCGGCATTGGGCAATTTTTTCTGATTAAAAAAATAAATTCTCCAATGGCCCCCGATTCTTGCAAAAGTCCAACCCCCCTAGCGAGTGCAAGTAGCCGAACGGATCTCTGGCACATTTGTAAGTGCAAAGTCGAACTACTTTTCACATGTGTAGATATGTGGTGCACTTACAGTAAAAGCAGTCGCCTACTTCTACCCACCATGATTATCATGGTCTGTACCACATGTAGTAAGGATAAGCAAAAAAAAAAACATGCTTTGATGAGTTTACATGCTGGAAACGATGTAATCTGCTTTAAGCCTTTCGCTGTCCAATCACACGCCAACGTGTGATTATAAGCTTTTCCTCGGGAGCCTATAACACGCTTATGTGTGATCTATGACCCAACATTTATTCTTCTGATTCAATCATACCTTATATTTAACAATATTTGATGGTATCAGAGAAAGTAAACATTGTTATCTAGATGTAAATAAATGACTGGTTTTGACCTAGTTTTGTATAAATAGTCTCTCATTTATTGGATAAACTGTGTGAAAATGTCAGAATCTGAGCCAAGTCTACTTCTAAGATAGCTGTACTGACTATTAACACACTAGCATGTCTGGTATTGAAAGAGTTAAAACAACAAAGTATCAAGAACAAAAATTATCGTTAAAATAATTTAAATACGGGATTAAAGACCCTGTCTATTTTATAAATGTAAATTTTATAATGAAAAGATATTGATCTATAAATTGTAGGGCGAAGTACGGTGTCGTGACCCCCGAGCCGCTACGGTAACCGTGAACAGGGAACTCTGAAATGTGGCTGACTAACGGGGCAATGGCATACCCCCTCCTTTCCATGGAGCAACTGGACAAGACACCACCACATTGATCTTTAAAAAGAAAGGTAGCCTCTCCCTTTAAAATATACGCAAAAACAATGCGCCATCTATTGAATGTCTCTGCACATAAACTAGCAGAGACACTCGGTATAGTAATTACTAATAATAGCTAAAGTCTAAAATATCAATAAGAATCAAAAGTTTAGATTACGGCTGATTTCTGACGCGATATGTTTATTTTTGACTGAAAAACTTTCGATCAACAGATCTTTGATCGACCAATAACTAGATTCTAAAAATATCAATGTTACATATTACCTATATGTAAATATGTATGTTATATAACGTTGTTGGAGGATGATATTTCTGACCAAAAAGAGACATCGTTTCTTTTGAAAATATATTGAAAACAATGCATTTTGATCCATCATCCCACAATATAAGCATAATGGTGTGGTTTAACAAAGTTTGACAATTACAACCGCAAATGTTACTTTTGAACGAAAAAAATCGAAATTTATTTTAAGGAAAAAAAAAACCTATTACTTCTAACCTTAGGGATTAAGTATGAAAGGATGAATTGCTAAGAGTAATGATAAACGGAAAAATAAAAGTGTCCAGGGATGGGAAACGAACCCACAGTGTTCCGCTTACCGGGCAGATGTCATGTCCACTAGGCTACCCTGGACATATTTTTCCGTTTATCATTACTCTTCACAATTCATCCTTTCATACTTAATACCTAAGGTTAGAAATAATCGTTTTATCTCCTTAAAATAAATTTTGATTTTTTTTTCGTTCAAAAGAAACATTTGCGGTATAATTGTCACTCTCCAAAATCACTTTATAAGCTACCGCTCAACAAGAACAACCTAGTTTATGATATTTACAACAATGTGTGAAGGTTATTCACATATTAAACAAAATGTTAACGCGGGATTCGATCCCGGTTCATGACTATCGGGAATCGAGGGTGTTACCCACTCGTCCACCGACGTGAATTTTTTTGTTAATAATTATCAAACTTCGTTATAGAATCATAAGCCGCATTATATTATATTATAATGGAGGTTATCATTCAATACATTCTTCACATATCCCTTATTATTTTAAACACCAATACGCTAAAGAAAAAGGTAAGAAATCAGGTTGTCAAGCAAGCTGAGAAATCTATTTCCTAGAAAGTCGGTGGATTAGACAATTCAATCTATATGAAAATGATCTTCCATCCTTCTGTAAGATTAGGTTTTGGTGATATTGAGACTTTAGTGACATACGAAGACAACTGTCTACCAATTAACATGACACTCCAATGATTGATTATCGATTTTTGGGGATTGATTGATCGCTTTTTATCTATCTTATGTCATCCGGGTCAAGGTGGTCATTTCTCGAAGTGTCCAACTTTTTAAGTTGTTGGTTTTTTCTCTCTTTTTTTCTTTGAGTTCTGATCTATTTGTTGTTCAATTCTATGTTAATATTGTTTGGGAAGTCCAAATTGGAAGTTTTAGGTTAATAAGGTTTTTGCCTAAGAAAATATTTCATAATAATTGGACTTATATTCAGTTTTCAAATAGTTTATGTTAGGTTGATTTGATTTGTTGTTTGTTCTTTTAAATATAAAGATATATAAGTGATTGAAGTGTATTTTTGATCATACCTTTATGGACTTAATATTTATGTGTATGATGTACTCAAAATTGGTTTAAAATCTTTAATACCTAAATCTATGTTCACAATATTGCTTTCTTCTGGAAGGATCAAGCTGGCATGATATACCAAAACTACAGAGCTGGTCAATGGTCAAAATTATTTGCTCATTTTCACTGAATTTCTGATAATTCCAATTCTACAAGGCATAATATAAGGCTAAGAAAACACTTCAGATTTTTTTAAAAAATGATATCTACCATTAACTTTCCACGCAGAATGTAATAATTGTGACAAAGTTTAACAAAGCAGAATTTTCTGGTCTATTTGTTATTTTCTTTCATCTAAGTACTTTTAATTATAGAGCACAATTTGGATTATAGATACAAGAAAATATGGTCAATATATTTATTCTTTTGTCTGATGATGGTAACAATGCTGTCGCCGTTGTTAAATTATTTGGATTAGGACTTGTTTTATTGTATCTATAAGTACTTTTAAATAAAGTTCAGAAAATATTGACACCTGAGTTATAAGAAAATCTTTGCTTTTTATATACCTTTCGGTTGACATCTCATTCAGCTTCATCCATTGAAAATATGAAAAAACTGTAAAAAGTAACAATTTTCTTGTCTTTCTATAGATTACTTTTATTTCCAATCCTATATATATATATATATATATATATATATATATAGTGTAAAAACTATATAATAAAAATATAACAGTGATTCTACATTTAAAGCTTAAGGAGCAAACTGATAAGAATGATAAATCATATCAAGTAGATTTGGTTAGATTAGCAAGCTAAATCTAAATTAATTATAAAAATAAATAGTTGTATAGTTTTATAGTTAAGTATTCTATTAAAATTATCTTAATTATTTTGATTATTTAAATTCAAATTATAAAATTAGTAAATTGTTATTATTTAGTATAGATAGAGAGAGAAAAAAAAATCCTTTACTTCTAAAACATCATCTAGTTAATTATATATTTATAATTAATAACAATAAAATTTAACAACGTAACGTCTTTTGCATCGGCTTTTACACGTCATTTAGACATACTCTAATCCTATATATTATTGTTATTAATTATAAATATATAATTAACTAGATGATGTTTTAGAAGTAAAGGATTTTTTTTTCTCTCTCTATCTATACTAAATAATAACAATTTACTAATTTTATAATTTGAATTTAAATAATCAAAATAATTAAGATAATTTTAATAGAATACTTAACTATAAAACTATACATATAACTATACTTATATTATGCCTTGTAGAATTGGAATTATCAGAAATTCAGTGAAAATGAGCAAATAATTTTGACCATTGACCAGCTCTGTAGTTTTGGTATATCATGCCAGCTTGATCCTTCCAGAAGAAAGCAATATTGTGAACATAGATTTAGGTATTTAAAGATTTTAAACGCCTTCCTATCTATAGCGCCCGATTTTAAATACGTAGTACGATGCGATTTACATTAAAAGTGTCTATAGCACCCTATTTTGGTGAGTCCCAAGAGGGGGCGTTATAGACAGGTTTAACTGTATATATATATATATAAAGTAAATGCTATTATTGATAAAAACAAATCAAATATTACAATATCTGAAATGTTATTTTACTACTGACTGTGTCAATCAGGTATTCGTAAAAATAAACTTATCAATAAAAAATCTAAATCCATACAAAGGTATTTAAAATACAATACAGTGAAAATAGAGTAATAATTTACCATTGAAGAAATACCCAACAAAATCACATACTATTTATACTTCGTACCAGTAAAAAAAAAAGGAGTAAACACATTTCAAAGATGATTCGCTGTCAAGTTGTGATAGAAACACGGAGAGATAAAAAAAGTTATCTAGATGAAATAAACTTTAAAAAAATCATTTATAGTGTTTTTTTAAATCCCTAAACATGGCATCATGGCCCACTGAAGATAATGGACATTTTTTTCCCATGTGTAAACCCTTAGGCTTGATTATAGCGGAATAGATAACCTAAACAAGATCTTTTGAAATGTTTTTTTTTTTATCTTTTTTTTTTCCTGTATACAATTTGATATCTTTGGCGTGACTATGTAAGACCTGTCTTTCTTTCTTTCTCCTAGATTATTGACTTATTCAATTAGATTTGCTTTTTCTTCTTTCTTTCTTTTTTTTTTTTGTAGATATTTCTCACTTATACGGGAGCTTGATTTGAATCTAAAAATAACATGAGTTAGAATTGAAGATCGAAAAGAAGATTTAGATAATGAAAATCTTTATAAAAAAACATATTTTAAAGGGTAATGATAGCTTAGCAGATCTTTTACTTAAAAAAAAAAGATTATATCTTAGAATCAATTCGCCTAACTTCACGATAATAATAATTTTATTATCTCCTTCAAGTATTCAATAATTTTTAAAAACGTTGAAAGTAAATTGGAGAAAAAGGTATGTGTTAAAAACACTGTTTTGGGTTTTAAAAAAGTTCGTTTTTAAAAATTATTCACAGAACACGCCAGGCTTTCAAACTCAATATGTTTATCTTATTTTTCTGTAGATGTGCTCTCTTTTAAGCTTAATAAATTTAATAAATCGTCTAAAAAAGGTAATTCGTCCCTGGGGATGTCTTAAAGCTTTAAGCTATCATTATAACATATGTATATATATATATATATAAGACCTGTCTTCAAGTCAATAAGAAATTCAGTAGAGAATACTCCATAAGAGGACACTCTCGCTAGAGAACACCTCTCTACAAAGGACAGTTTTCTCATCTCTATAATTACTATTTTCACTATTTCGATGCTCTCTGGTATGAAGATACTCTCCCTAAAGGAAACTTTGGCTCTGCAACTAGGTATCCTTTATAGAGAGGTTCTACTGTATTTCTTATAGTTGTTGTTTAATACACACACACACACACAAACAAAGCTTTATTAAGACCAGAGGTCTTATGTTGTTGTCTAATAAACGAAATACTTTCTATAAGTTTCACGTAATTTTTATTGAACATTGACTTTTCGGATATCTTCCGTGTGTGTAACAAGACTGGTGTTTTTTTAAATAGGTCTGAGGATAGCTCCATTAGCTGTTTCAACGCTGACGAACTCATGACGGTGCGTAGGTACGGTGACTTGGCGTTTACGCAGCTATCCGTAGCAATAGCACGTTGGACCCTCTTGTATAACTGATTTCAAATCACACTACAAGTCCGTTTTGTTAACTCTTCAGGAATTGTGGTTATAAAATAGTTTTAAAGTAGAAAAAAAACTCTGATGAGATAGCCAACAGTCTGAAACGCGTACCTTATTAGTTTTTTCTTGATATTTAAAGAAAAGGACATATAGAGGCTAACTATAAAATAAATAAATAAACGGATAGTTTTCTTTATAATACAATATAGTGCGGCTTATAATTGTGGAACGACATTTGAAAATTGTCCTTTCATACTTCATCCATAAGGTTAGAAATAATCGTTATTTCTCCTTAAAATAAATTTCGATTTTTCGTTCAAAAGAAACACATGCGGGATAATTTTCAAATGTCGTTCTACAGATAGTTTTCTTAATTTATGAACCTTATCCCAGTACAATGTCACATTTTTACTATTTTTTTTCAGATAGTTGATAGTTTTTCGGGCTGTGCCCGAAAGCTTGATGTCTTAATAAATCAATGAAGAAACTTATCTCCTGAATATTTTATCCTTACCACGCATGTAATTGGGAAGATTTTACCGTTTAGAAGTTTTTCTAAAGAAACATTGACTTCCATGACTCCCAATTCTTGCAAAATTCAAACATACGTCAGTGAGTGAAAGTAACAAAACACAGGACTCTGACATATTTTGTAAGTGCAAAAGTCGAATTGCGCTTTCCACGTGTGTAGACATGTGATACATTGAGTAAAATTAATCATTCCTCCAGGGAAAAGTGTCTTTTAAAACCTCTTTATTATTCTCTAGCTTTCGGGCACGGACACCCTTCTACAGGAGAAAACCTGGTATGATACATACTGTATGTTATCACAATATTCACA